ATTATTATTATTATTATTATTATTATTATTATTATTATTATTATTATTATTATTATTATTATTATTATTATTATTATTATTATTATTATTATTACTATTACTATTACTATTACTATTACGGAGATGATAAATTGAGGAGAGCATAATGAACTAAGGAGAAGATTGGTAGCACATTTGTGGGATAAACGTCATCAAATAGATAATGTTGAAGATGATAAGGATAATAATGGTGAATGAGACTCATCTGCTCATAAGGGGTACTATTTCCTTGTTAGGCCAAACAAGGTTTTAACGAGGCCCCTGTTATCAATGAAATAATTTTTTTGGCCAAAAGAAATGTTGTAATGTTTTTATAATTAAGTTATGTTGTAATGCTTTTATGATTAATTTATGTTGTAAGGTTTTTAGGAAAAAAATAATAAAATTAATGTTTATTCGTGGTTTTATTATATGTATAATAATCTAAGTCGATTTTCATTCATGTTTCAATAAATTTTTGATATTTATCATAATTTTAAATTATATACTTAATAAAATCATTGTTTAAGATCAAATTCATAACCAATATATTGGTAATAAAATAGACTAAGTTTACGATTAACATTAAAACTATAATTTTGTAATATATTTGGTGAAATGCCATGGGAGACCAAACCAATCATATTCTCTATAAATGGTAAAATGGTGAAATATTAATATTTTATTATTTGGTATAAAATTTGATGGAATTGGTGGGAGAACAAATACACTATTTTGTCACTAAAAATAGAGAAATTATAGAATGGTGTGCTACGGGTGGGAGATAACACCATTTTTTCACCACCAAAAATAGGATTTGGTGAAGAAATGGTGTTAAGGGTGGGAAATGCTCTAATTAAGACAAATAAGTCATTTAAACATTTTTCCCCAAATTTTCGAAAAAAACATAAAACTTCAAGAACCAAGTTATCTTTTCAAAACACTAACATGAAATCATCATCTAAAACATACAATCACATAATATGCAAGGATAAAAAATAAAAACACATAAAAACCGAAAATACTAGTGGTGTTGCATATTTGAGCAAGAATTCAAGAATTCTCACCTCTCTCTCTTTAGGGGAAGGATTTGTTAGCTCTTTTCTCTCTAATACAAGAAGAGATTAAGAGTTAGATTATGTATTAAGAAAGGAAGAAGAAGAACAAGAAAAACTTGGATGAAGAAGAGCTAGCTAAGCTCTTTTCGATAAAAAAAGAAAAGAAGAGGAAGAAGAAGCTTACTCCTAAGCTTGGCCGAAAATTCTTCTTTTGTTGAAATAGAAGGAGACCTTAAACTTATAGATAGCGATATTGGAGGTGGAAAGTGTATTTTGATCTTGGACATTGGATGTATTTATAGAGTTTTCGGAGAGTTCAAAGCCAATGGAGAAGAAAGGAAAATACATCTTTTTGTGTGGGTGATTTTGAAATTTTCGAAAGTAAGAGTGGTGGTGGTTCTTGGGTGGTTCAAGCTTGAGAAGGTGGTGGCTATGGTAGTGGTGATATGGCTGCCGAAAAATGAAGGGTAGGGGAAGAAGAAAGAAAGACTTTTGGCCTTAAAGTGGTGTGTGGGAGTGGAAAAACATACCTAGTCTATAGAGTAAGGGGCTAGGCTTGGGTATTTCTTTCTATGCTCAAAGTACAACCACACTAATGCATGTTTTCTACAAATTAATATGCAAATTTAAAATCATGTGTGTGTGTGTGTAAGATGTCCGAAAATTCAAAAAAATGTGGGGAGGATTTTCTAATTTTCTACATTAATTAAAAATCCTAAAATGCATGAGAAAATTTATTTTCTAAAATTTTGTGCATGCATAAATATGATGAAATGCTCATTTCAATTCATATGCAAGAATAAAATCCTAGTTTATGAAAAAAATAATTTATTTCGACATACTACCTCGAAATATTTCCTAAGCACATAATTCACATAATCACATAATTCACATAATCACATAATTCATATATTTCACATAATTACCTACTTCACGTAAATACTAACCATGCAAGAATTATTATAAATTCTAATTTCACATATATGCACATAAAGGTGGTAAAAATTATTTTACCGAAAATGCGGGGTGCTACATGCACGGATTGGTTTCCGTGGCAATCTTGCTTTGCATAGTGCGCCTACCTCACGCTTCAAGAGGTAAATTTTCGAATCCATTGTCGTTAGATTCGATTACGTTTAAATTGAATATATATGTTCGTTCTAGTATGAAACTTGTATGATTTTATATGACTACATGAAATCGTTTATTTGTTGCGAGCATGATTATTTGAATTAAACGCGAGCATGCTAATTGATTTAAATTCGGTTCAATAATTAAGCATGTATGTTGTTTTTAAATTTCGCTGGAATCGCAAAGGTACGCAATTAATTGTTTTCAATTATCGGGCTTGTGTTTATGTGTTTTAAAGTTGTTTAAATCGCAAAAAAAAATTGTTTTCCGCTGCGTACACGTGTCCGATTCCCAACAGCTCGTTCTATCGCTCTGAGATTATGTGTTCAAAAAAAAGATCCCCAATTGTGTGCTTGGCTTGGTCTGGGGAAGAAGACAGTTTCCTTGTGCAATTAAAATCCCTTTACTGCGACTCCTCGTGATCTCGGACGGCCGTCCCAAATTTAGTGCTAAAACTCGGATGGATGTCTGGGCCTTTAAATCTTCAGATTTTTTACTTTTTCACTTTTGGCCCATATTTTCTCCGAAATTGCAGTTTTTACCCCTTACTTTTCTAATTCTTCAATTTGTACCTAAAATACAATAAATCAACATTTAAAGCACCAATTATCGTTAAAACATACCAAAAGCTCAAATTACAAGGTACGATTAAGTGTAAAAATATACACTTAACACAAATAAAATCACCCACAAACTTCCAATTGATAATTAATTTAATAATCGTGGTTGGGGTAGTTGAATTTTAAATCAATATTAAAAAGTATTACCTTAAATATCAAATGAGTAATTGATAACTCAATTTTTATATCTAGCATTGGAGTTGCTCTAAACAACAATATTTGGTAACCACATTCCTACATCAATTTTTTCTTTAATAGCTTATAAGTGTTTTCATATAATATCAGTATGCCCTTAATTAATCAGTTACTGACACAAAACTATAGAATATTAGATCAGTAAGCATCCATTGAATATAATTTTCTCACGAAGTCATACATAATCAAAAAAAGATAATTAATAAGAAATGCCAATGAATATCGTCCAATTTTCTTAACACGTGATGAAACAATACAAACAAATAATGAAAAAGAGAGGGAAAAGAGTAGTTTAAATATGAGTTAAAACAGAAAAACAAAATATAACATCATGATTTCAATGTCAAATAAAATTAGATTGTATCTATTGAAAGAAATTATCAACGTCACCATTTATTTACATAATTTAAAGTTATACTATTATGTTGATATAAACATAAGAAGTGAAACAAAAAATAAAAAAAAATACATAGGAAAGTTAATAATACACGTGCAACACACCTGCACCTATCTAGTTTATCAAAATATGTGATAGTAACGACTTAATTATGAATACTCGTGTGATCCAAATTCAGTAATATTTGATATGTCAACAAAATATACCTGTGAAACAATTATGCAAAAAAATAAATTAAAGATAATGTTCTAAAATTTGAAGAATATAAGTATTGTTTAAATTCTAAAAGTTTCGTGCATGCATGTTAGGTTTCCTTCCAGTAATTCGATTCAACGGAACTTAGAAGCGAATTATTGCTAGGATTCACACTTTGTGTATGGCTTTTGTTGAACGTTTTGTATTTTAAATTGGGAATTAATTTATGCTAGATCATGCTATGTTCATTTTTAGCTCACCTTAGGAAATTTATGATACGAAGTATTGAGTAGTGAGTGATTTGGGATATGATTTGGGCCTTCTTTGAACCTTCTTCAAGCCTGAACTCCCTTCAAAAATGCGGATGATCTCTCCCGAGATCTATACAATAACTTTGTATATGTTGTAATTAAGTTGTGTCTATCTCGACTCAGTGATTTTTAATAATGTCCATATTAGCATTTGAGCGACGAGTAAATGAAATAATCCGAATCGAGTTAATTACATCGTATTAGTAAAAGGGAATAATTAAAAGTGTAACAAATCATATACACGCAATATTGCTTCATAAGATTTTAACTAAAGTTCTGCAAACTTTAAGACATGCCCCGCAATTTTAGGTTTTAGGAACAACAATTAATATATTTTGCCCAATTTTGAAAAATTTCACCACTCACATTTCACACTCGTGGACTCGTTTCAAAGGTCTCACTTGTCACTATATTAAATGAAATTGTGCCTTAAAACTTCATAACTCATCACACACATAAGAGTGAGAAGCATAAAAATTCTTGTGTTATATTTTGTGTTAAAAAAAAAAAGGTAAGAAACAACTCAAAGTTCAAAGTAAAAGTAAAACTTCACGATGGAAAGAGGAAGAAGCTCAAACATACAACATAAATACACGAGAAGAGCACACACATCCGGTAAAAACTGTACTTAATTTCCGAACATTTGGTTTTTATGACTAAATCTATATGAACAATGTGCATAGATTTCATTTTTTTTCCACATCTCTCATTTGAGGGAGTGAAAAACACATGTTAATTCGTTGGACTAAATTTGTGGATAATCAATTTTCTACTCGCGAATTTGGTGCGATTTAAGCTCATAAATGTCTTTGATGTTTAGTGGATCTCCTTGTGTAAATTGTATAAATAATATTTTCTTTTTGTCGCTTTCGTCTATGGTTTATTATGATTTCCTTTATGTTTGACGAGTAACGTCTTTTAAATTGTATTGTAATTTTTTAATTTTTTTCTCACAAATCGATCTTGTATTAGGTAATTTGGTGCGATTTAAGTTCAAAAATGTTTTTCATGCTCCATGGATTTCCTTGTGATTTTGATTAAAAAAAAAAAAAACCAAACATTTCTTTTGTCGCTTTCCCATACCATTATATTCTGATTACTTTTATGTTTCACGAGCAACGTCTTTTAATTTTTATGGTATGTTCTTTTTTGCGACCATAGAACACACGTTAGTATAAATTACTTTGATTTTGTTCATGTACTAACTAGATTTCAATTTCCATTGATTCCTCTTAATTTGTTTTTCTTTTTTCACTATAATCCAATGTATTGCATATACTCAATAAATATGTTTTTAGCGATTAAGAGTAATGTTATATTTTATCTCAAAATAAACTGGGATTCCATATGGATCAATCAAAAAAGGTTCTAGTTAACGTGGATGAAATTTATTGTGATGAAAAGAGGATAATTAATTCGATAGAATTTCAATAAGTATATAGTCAACTTGATGAATATATATTTCATTTTGAGTATCATACTTTTATTTTATTTATCGATACATGTCATTTGTATATAATAATGACATCATCAATATTTCATATATAGAGTTGTATTAAATAAAATAAAACATGATAAAATTTGAAATGTAATAGAATACTATCACAATGTGTACAAGATTAGTGCAATAAATGTAAGATTTCCGTGCGTTCTTTTTACATCATTTGTTTATTGTTAGCTATTGGAAAACAAAATCCAACCTTCATACCAATATTATATATACTCTGCTTTTTGTATACGCTTACAAAAATTAAAGATGGTCATATATAATACATGGCCGGCACACAAAAACTGGCCCCTCAATTTTATACATGTTTATTTGACCAAGTTTTACTTTAATTAATTTAATAACCTGCTTGTATATATTTGAAAAATATTGTGTTTTTTCTTAATTGTATTGCATATATATTATATACACAACCAATTGAAATTACGATCGGTTTAAAAGAGGATTAAAAGACAAGAAGTTCATTTATCTCCTAAAAATTTTATATTTTATTTATGTACCTTTTCAGGCATTTTTATCAGAGAAGAGGGCGCTCCCGCTGCTGCAGCCGCCGCAATCACCAATGTTGCCTACATCATCGCACCACCGAATGCCACGGATGGAGAGGTGAAGCAAGAGCAACAACAAGCTTTCAAAAGGGACGCAAACCAGTACATGTCGATATATATATATATATATATATATATATATATATATATATATATATATATATATATATATATATATATATATATATATATATATATATATATATATATATATATATATATATATATATATAC